TTGACCACGGTACTATTGGACATAACCAATCGATGATAAGAATTATGTAGTGATTTACTAGGTCGAAAGAATCATTACAATCTATGTCCAATAGTATCGTGGTCAATCGAAACTCGTTGTTCTGCATATTTACCAACGCATCTTTCGGTATCCAAATGAGCGGTGTGCAACTTTTTGTGTCCAAATGACCGGCGTATAATTTTCGGTGTCCAAACGAGCGGTGCGCATTTTTCTCGTGTCCAATTAAACCGTGGGCAAAATTTTGTGTCTAATTGCAACGTGTCCATTTGCTCCGTGTCCAATTGTATCGTGTCCAAGTGAGTGCCACTCACCCCATGTTGCGAAAGTGATCAAGACATACTTGGAAATGTTGAAATGGGAAGTCCTACCTCACCCGCCGTATTCTCCAGACGTTGCTCCCTCTGACTATCACTTGTTTCGATCAATGGCACACGGCCTGGCTAACCAACACTTCCGGTCTGATGAAGAAATAAAAAATTGGATTGATTCGTGGATTGCCTCAAAAGATGACCAGTTTTTTCGACGCGGGATTCGTACGCTGCTCGAAAGATGGGAGAAAGTAATGACCAGCGATGGACAATACGTTGAATCATAAATGTATAACCAGTTTTTTACAATAAAGCCTCGGAATTTCGGAAAAAAAACGGCGGAAGCAAAGTTGTACACCTAATATATATATTAAGAATGTTTATATAATATATATGTAATATTATAAAAAGAATGTTCAACATTTTTTAAAACATCGTTTAAAATACCGTCATTTTAGAGGTAACTTAGAACATCGGAGTAACTTTGAACCATTTGCAACGGCTTACAAAAACATGTGGCATCATTAAACGGATAGAGGTAGAACTTCCATATCAGCGATATAAAAGTTACCCCAAATGACGGTATATTATTGTCCTTGAAATAAAATAATTTTTGTCAATTTATGTCTGATATTGACATTTTTGGCTTATTAATTTTCCCTCATATTTCATAACAATTTTAATAATAATTTTTCATAATAATTTTCATAATAATTTTCTATAATAAATTTTGTTATAAAGTATTTGTGGTTTTCAAGAAAGTCTAATTCTTTTTATTACTTCTACTCATAGAACTTATAGTACATGGAAGAGGAATAGTCTATCCAAGCAATGAGTGGGATATGTGGACAACATCTTATGGACAGAAGATATATTTCTGTCTTGCTCAGTGACTTTTCTTCTTTCTGCACATGTGCTAAATTAAACGCGGTATTTGAATTACTGAGTTCTCTCTAACTTACCTTATAAAATATAAAATAATTGCAAACTGTATATTAAAGGGGAAAAAGTGATGTCATATTAAATGAAGAGGAAAAATTACTTTATAAGATATAAAAATAGATATTGCACTACATACTGAATACATAAAACAAAATACAATTATATATGCAATACAATATCAAAATTCAATATCAAAAGAAAAATAAAATATATAGCGGAATTGTTAAGAAATTTATAGAAACATAGGTATAGATAATTATAAAAGAAAGTAACATATGTATTAAATTATAAAACACTTATAAATAAGTTACTGGTGATAAAAATGTATCAATTTAGTTACTTTGTGGTTTTGTTTCATTTATTGATAAGCATTTTAACAAACATAAATATATTATTAATAATTCAATTATCGATACACGTTCAATCACTAGGACATTTACTTTACACCCAAAAATATAATTACATCCAAAACAAATAATTTATGTTACATTGTACAGTTAATATTTTTATATCTTTTTATGTACATACCTTTTGTTACTTTTGATATGGTAAATAGATGGTATGCTTTCACTTTTAAAATTTTGTTTTTAAAATTTTATTGGTCGCTGTGAAAAGGGGGTGTATATCAGTTGGACACGGGGCAATTGGACACAGTCCAATCACAAGTCGCTGTTCCAAGGGACCCTACAAATGTCTCTAATCATACGGTGCTGTGATTGGCTGTGTCCAAATGCACCGTGTCCAAGTGCACCGCTCCCGTGAAAAGGTAATCATTTTCTGTGAAATGATTTGAGCATAAAAACGTGGAAGTTTTGAGAATAGCTTCATCAATATTACAAAATTCTAACTATTTCATTCTTATTTCTATATCTTTAGAAATCCGTAAAAATTAGAATATGATTTTACTTAACTTAAATATGCGAGCAGAGAACACATTTATTTATTAAATGCTTATATGCTATGTAATACATTTATTTATGATATGACGCTGTTTTGTCACGATTATTACACAAAATACAATATCGAACCATTTCAAATAATTAATACAATTACGCTTATATACAATATGTTTTCCCATAAACATTAATAAAAACATTATGGTTATGTTTTGACATTAGAGCATTTCGATTGGCGAAGCGTGATCATGCGCATAAAAAGAAAGGGTGTATATCAGTTGGACACGGGACAATTGGACACAGTACAATCACAAGTCGCTGTTCCAAGGGACCCTACAAATGTCTCTAATCACACGGTGCTGTGATTGGCTGTGTCCAAATGCACCGTGTCCAAGTGCACCACTCCCAAAAGAAACAGTCACTGACAGAAAGATATTTCTGTCCTTTAGATCTTGCTCACAGCTCGACGATCGTATTCCTCTTCCATTATTATATGTTCTATGCTTCTACTATACTATTAAGCTGGTGGCACATAGAAAAACTTAAGCACTAAAGCTTAAAGCTCACTACACCTATTGTGGCTCGGAACTTAGTGCTTCCTGTGCTGTTGAATACACAGCCACTAGATTCACCCACTTGTTGTTCTTGATGGGGTGGGACCCTTTGACTATATAATCATAGACCGCTAGCGACGATTCTAAGCGTCTGTCAACATCTGTAGCGCCGCCAAAACCAAACAATGGCAAAGAAGAAACCCAGTAGAACAAAACAGAGTTAGCAACGTAAACGCTTCTAATATCCGCGTATCACATAGTGATACGTATTGGAAATACCTAAGGGCCGTGGCATATAGAAAAATTTAAGCAGTAAGACGTAAGCAGTAAGCAAATTGACCAATCACAGTCGTTGATTCTAGGACCGTAAGAAGAACAGATGACTGTGATTGATTAATTTGCCTACTGCTTACGTCTTATGACTTCTGCACACAAGACGCGGTAATGCTTGCCGCGCGGCGGAAGTCCGCGCGACAGCCAATCAATATGTTGTTTTTCCGTAAGAGCTAGAAGGTTATTATGGAAAGCAGCATATTGATTGGCTGTTGCGTGAACTTCCGCCGCGCGGCAAGCATTACCGCGTCCTGTGTGCAGGAGCCATTACTGCTTAAGTTTTTCTATGTGCCACCAGCTTAAAGCTGGCCACACACACTTTCCGTAACAGTAACCGTAAGGGCTATCGCACACAAATTGACATAACTGCATATGCATAGCATAAGACCGTATGTACCAATGAGCATCGAGTATTAAGTCGCCATATTGGTGTTCGATGCTTAATATTCGATGCTCATTGGTCCATACGATCTTATGCTATGCATATGCAGTTATGTCAAATTGTGTGCGATAGCCCTAAGACGTAACGTAAAAATTGACCAATTACGATTGAGTATTCACAAAAATGGCGATCTTAGGGTGCGATTAGATGTAGCGTGGTACGCGGTATGCGGTACGCGGAACGTAGTAAAGTGACTAGAAACCGCGCGCGGTGAGCCGCGTCTGTTTTCTCTCTACTATTACATGGAGCAGAAACTGCGCGGAAAAGCGGTACGGGCTAGTGACAAAGGGTGTATATCAGTTAGATACGGGGCAATTAGACACAGTCCAATCACAAGTCGCTGTTCCAAGGGACCCTACAAATGTCTCTAATTACACGGTGCTGTGATTGGCTGTGTCCAAATGCACCGTGTCCAAGTGCACCGCTCCCGTGACAAATTCTCATTTTTATGCACTTTTAAACGGAATTAATTGATTTAAATGCAATTAATAAGTAAATTTGTTGAAAAAATAAGAATATTGGTAAAATGTGCATAGAAATGTTAATACATTTTAGAAAATGTAAACAAATGAGAATTTGTCACTTGTCCGTGCCGCTATTCCGCGCTCCATGTAATAGGAGAAGAAAAGAAGCAGACGGAACGGCGACGGCATGCCGCGACATGATCGTAGCTAAACGATAAACAACGGCGAAATACATAACTTGAAATTAGCACATGTAAATTAAGTAAAGAGAAATATTTCGGTGTTCAGAATTCGGTGGAGGAAAAAAAAATTTTTGCGTTAAAGCAAATTTTTATCATGGAGACTGCAAATATAATGTTGATGGTCATGATAACATTGTTAAAGCAAGTAAAAAATCAGCCAAAAAGATATGCAGTAATTACAATGCACAAAGTTATGACTATATTTTATATTTATATTTGTTACCAAGAATTAGAAGATGAGCGAAATCCACGTCTAGTGTGGGTAAGAGATATCTTTTCTGAACAGAGAAGACTTTTGCAAGGTGCCAGTGATAATTTAGTGATTGAGATGCAATTGTCAGACGATCTGAAATTTTTCAATTATCTTTGAATGTCCCCATCGATATTCAACAAATTATTGGAAATAGTTGGACCTCGCATTGAAAAGGAGAAGGTGTTACGGAATCCAATAACAAATCGAACGTGGTTACAGGTGACTCTGCGCTGGTTAGCTTGTGGTGACAGTATGATATCACTGTCATATGCCTTTCGTATTGCCCAATGTACAATTTCCAAAATCATTTCGGAAACATGTGACACAATATGGGAGCGGTGCACTTGGACATGGTGCATTTGGACACAGACAATCACAGCACCGTGTGATTAGAGACATTTGTAGGGTCCCTTGGAACAGCGACTTGTGATTGGACTGTGTCCAATTGCCCCGTGTCCAACTGATATACACCCACACAATATGGCGGGTGTATATCAGTTGGACACGGGGCAATTGGACACAGTCCAATCACAAGTCGCTGTTCCAAGGGACCCTACAAATGTCTCTAATCATACGGTGCTGTGATTGGCTGTGTCCAAATGCACCATGTCCAAGTACACCGCTCCCCAATATGGCATGCTTTAAAAGAGACAGTACTTCCTGTTCCCAGTGAAGAAAATTGGCGCAGAATTGCAGACAATTTCGAAAAGATATGTCAATTTCCGCACTGGAAAGATACTATCGATGGAAAGCACATTGTCAGGTATATATTATATGTGTATATATGAAACATTCATACATACTTGTGAGCAATCTGATAATGTAAACAATATTTGACAATTGCAGGCACAACTTCGTAGCGGCTTAACATTTTGTAATTACAAAGGAAACCATAACATCAATCTACTTGCAATAAGCGACGCTTTGAATCGTTTCCTTATTGTTGACATCGGAGCTCAAGGAAGACAAAGTGACGGAGGTGTCTTTCACAACAGTGGATTGCCTCATTTATTTCAGACAAATGCACTGTGCATTCCTCGACCCACGTGCATCGGCTCTATTAACACGGAGTTTCCATTCGTATTAGTAGGAGACGAAGCTTTTCCCTCGAGTACATATTAGGTGAAGTAAAAAGTTCTGAGCGTTTTTTCGCTTTATTTCGACGATGAAATTAACATAGTTAGGATTATCCGATTTCGATCAAATATGCGCCGTTTTGTTCGATAACTTTTGTCCATTTTGAAAGCAATTTCATAATTCCGCGATTGAAGAAGTCCTCGTCCCTATTGGTAAAAAACTTGACCAGCTCATTTTCACAAGCCTCTCTTGAGGCCAGTTTTATACCATCCAGAAAATTTTGCAAATGCTTGAAAAGGTGATAATCGCTTGGTGCCAAGTCTGGACTATACGGCGGGTGCAATAGAACCTCCCATCCAAGCTCTCGGAGCTTCTGGCGCGTCGTTAATGATGTGTGCGGCCTGGCGTTGTCTTGATGGAACACAACACTCTTCCTATTGGCCAATTCTGGCCGCTTCTGGTCGATCGCCTGCTTCAATCTGGTCAGTTGTTGACAGTAGAGGTCCGAATTGAGTGTTTGGCCCGATGGGAGCAGCTCATAGTGGATGATTCCTTTCCAATCCCACCAAACACACAGCAAAACCTTCTTGGCCGTTAATCCGGGCTTGGCGATCGTTTGGGCCGGCTCACCGCGATTGGACCACGATCTTTTTCGGCTGTTGTTCTCGTATGTGACCCATTTTTCATCACCAGTCACCATCCGCTTCAAAAATGGGTCGATTTCGTTACGTTTCAGCAAAGAATCGCAGGCATCAATTCGGTCCAAAAGGTTCTTTTGCGTCAATTCGTGTGGCACCCATACATCGAGCTTCTTCTTGAGACCAGCCTTATGCAAATGGTTCCAAACGGTTTTCTGGCTAATCTTCAGTTCCTGGGCAATGGAATAAGTGCTCACATGCCGGTCCGACTCGACGATTTCCATGATTTTATCGACATTTTCGACGATTGGCCTACCAGAGCGTGCCTCATCTTCGACGTCCATATTACCAGAACGGAATCGTTGGAACCACCGCTTTGCTGTTGCATTCGATACTGTATTGGGTCCATAAACAGCACAAATTTTTTTTGCCGCCTGCTCCGCTTTTTCACCTTAATCGTAGTGGTACTGAAGAATGTATCGAATTTTCTCTTTTTTTTACCTCCATTTTGGAACGCTGTAACACACAACTGGCTTGACCAAACACAAAACTGTCATAGAACTTTTTTTGAAGCGTAATGTCACCTTTAAATCGCCGTATAGTATGACCCGATGCGATGTATACATCGTGAGATATGGCTCACTAAAGACATCTAGCGGAAAACGCTCAGAACTTTTTACTTCACCTAATATATGATGAGACCGTACTCTCGAAGTCGTAATCTAAATGTGAGAAAAAAAATTTTTAACTACCGTCTCAGTTGAGCTAGAAGAACAGTGGAATGCATCTTTGGAATTTTAGTTGCATGATGGAAACTTTATCGTCGACCTATCATTGCATCCATTTCCACTGTCATTAAAGCTGTGCAAGCAACAACTATTTTACATAATTTCATCATCAATAAAGAAATTTCCTTACCGGTAAGGTAAAGAAAATATGGTAGGAATGAAGAGCCTGATGCGTCGAGTAGTGGACTTACAGTCTTAAATGGCAATAATGAATCAAGAAATTTGACAGCAGTCAGAATTCGAAATGATTTCGCCTATTATTTCGAGCACATCTCTCCATTGTCTTGGCAGTGGAAGAAAGCTTTGTCTTGCGATTTTTAATATAATTTTGAAATATATAAATAAATCGATTTTTATAGTTTTATGAGTATATTTATTTTTATATTTTTACGAGCAGATGTATATGTATTTTAAAGTAGAAAATCTATGTCTATATCTAATCTTATATCTATAATCTTATATCTAATAATCTTATATGTTATAATCTTATATCTATTATCTTTGTGCATTCTGTGCCTCAATTGTCTCTTCTTCAATAATTGCTATATCCATAAGTCTTCTTTAAAGATTTCTGCGATTGAAATACGGTAGACGACGCAATATATCGCCCAGTTGCTCCAAAAAGCTATCTACCACATCCCGTTCTTGGTGCGGTACTGTTTTCAACAGTTCTAGAAATGCATCTTGCAGTTAAGCCTGCTTCTTTAATTCTGCAATTGATTTATTTCATTATTCCGTTATTAATTTCATTCGCAAGTGTACAAAAATATAACTTTCAAATTTGCACAAGAGAATATTTGTTTTAACATTGTAAGAACAACATTGTAAAAACAATTCGAAGGTTAGGTTATGCAAGCTCTATTTACTTTGCCTTTTGCAAATCGATCTTGCGGTGCTCGAAGTCGCAGAGTCTGAAGATCCGTATTTGAGATTGCCACCGGTGAACTGTCGTTGCTGTCCTCGATAATGCTCATGCTGGCATCAGACAGTTGAGCTTCGGCGTAAACATCATTGTTGCTACTCTGTGTCAAGTTGTCCACAACCTGTTGCACAGAATTAATGGTTCTGTAATTTAAATTTTCGTGTTGTTGCATTAATATATACAACACAAATAATATAACATTAAGGACTTATCTAGACATACTTGCATAGCCGCATGGGAGCGGTGCACTTGGACACGGTGCATTTGGACACAGCCAAGCACAGCACCGTGTGATTAGAGACATTTGTAGGGTCCCTTGGAACAGCGACTTGTGATTGGACTGTGTCCAATTGCCTCGTGTCCAACTGATATACACCCTAGCCGCATAAACATATGCATAAGAAATTTCATTGGTCCATAAGTAAATACATAAGGAAATAGACCAATCAAATTCTTTATGTATATGTTTATAAGACTATGCAAATTTATTTGGATAGGCTCTGACACTTACAACATTGTGCTTAATGTGTCGTCGAGAAATCTCATTTGGTTATAATGAGTAAACATGCTCTTAAGAGGATGTCCAGCTTCTGCCCCACTTTCAGATCCACTTGGCGCATACCCCTGCATACGCCTACGAGCCTTCATGTAGGCATCACGCAACTGTTTCCACTTTTGTTTTGCTGATTTTAATGCTTCTGTAATTTTTGATATAATTCTTTAAATATTTACAAATATGTTAATAATACCATAAAATAATCTTATCTCCAAGTATATTGACAATATCATTCCATAAACTATCTTGTTTCAGGTTTATCCTTTCTTTGACAGGTAACCTGCTGTCCCACAAACCTTTATGATCACGAACCAGATCGATCAGCAGTTCGTCGATAGTTTGTATCCGATTATTTGTCTGAAGCGTATCTTCTGCTACATGGCGCATTGCGTCCAAGCACCCGGGGGCTGCCAAAAAATTGGTGTCGACCCCGGGGCTTATTTGTATTATTTGCATCGGATGAGGAAGGACAACGGTGGAGACGGACATACATGGACAGCAGGTCTTAAAGGATAGCAACCTTTGACTATGAGAGACTGACAGCTGTACCATTTGGTACAGTAACATTGTTTTTCTCTGTAGTCGCCGTGCGCTTGGGATCGCGCCAGAGATGTCACTTCCGAACGGCATCTCTGAGCGTTATCTAGGAAGAGGAGAGTGTCGTGAGCGTGGAGCGTCAGGTAGCTCAGTGGTTTAGAGCAGTCGCCCGGCAAGCGAAAGACCCGGGTTCGAGTCCCAGCCTAGCAGGACCGCGCTTTCGATATTTTTCTCTTTCTGGAACGAAAAAGATACGCTCGAACGCACGGCGTCCCGCCGCCACCTAGTATGCTCTCCTCCTTCTATGCCTCATAGGCATTTTCCATATCTTCCACCTGCTTGCTGTTAATATTATCATATCTTTGCACTGCAAAAAATAATAATTATGAAATCAATTTTACGCAATTACTGTGATAATTATTAATACATATTAATTGAGATAAACAGAAATATTCTTTAAGCTGGAATTCAAAGTCAAAATCGTTTCACAATTTAATTACAATAATACACAATAAAAATATTTTGCACTTACCCATTGTAACGACATAGTTTTCATCAATGTTGAGAAGATGCACCTTATTATCAAAATTACTGAAATAGTGATGTGCGAGAGCATCTCCACAAGAGCCACGAAGAATAAAGCCGCAATAACTACATTTTAATGACTGAAAAGATATTGAAAAAGTAATGTTTTCATTAATTGGTACAATTTCTAATGAAATTCATCACAGAAACATATACTTATCAATCTCATATTGTATTGATAAATATTTATTTATAGTTTATATTATAAATATTAATAGTACTTACAGAACTATTCATCATTTTCTTTCTTCTTCCACAAAAAACTATATATACATATATATACATATACAGGGTGTTCGGAAAGTACCGGGACGCCCGAATATCAGGAAAAATATAAGTTTTACAAAAAAATGTTTCAGACAAAAGTTGTGGCTTTTAAAAAGATGTCTTTACTGATCACATCAGTTTGACCTTGGGTTGCGTAGCGAAGGTCAGGTCAAGGTCACATTAATTTTTTTAAATGGAACACCCCATTTTTCATTGCATATTCTTATAGCACATCTCGAGAGCTTT